TCCCATTTGATTTGTAGATAAAATTATAAAACTACTGGTCAGCTTTACATCATGTAAACACATAAATCAGTACTGAAACCTTTACAACAGATTGCTTAGTACATTAAACGTCGCATGTGTGTTCAATGCTGTGTTGTACAGTTTTATCAGTTAAATGTAAAGCTCAAATTATGAGCATGGTTGTGATGTCGTAAGAACATGCCGATCATTCATTCGGTTTGGCCGGCACAACATGGAACTACTCCCACACATTTATACAAACAAGACAAAACATTAAATAATAATGTATGTGTGGAGTATGTATGCAGTAATGGTGTGGCAAGTGTGTGGAAATGTCATCAGGATATGTGTGTGGCCGATCGCCGATGACCCCACAGTGGGATGTGAATTGAGGTAAGTGACTATGTGTTTATGTGTGTGTGTGTGTTTGTTTGGTGTTTGTGTATGCGCCAGTACTGCCATTCCCAGTGGTAAAGAGGAGTTCTTCACACCACCTCGCCCTTCTCCAGGCCGTGTACTGTCCAGGTACTGAGGTGGTCGGCAATAAAGTTAAGCCTCTCTGGCCAAGGCTGTACCTTAAATTTGAAGAGCTTGGTACCACCTTGTGATGTGGGCATTATCGTCCTTAATTTTTTTTTATTCATGTCAGTGTAAGATGGTCCATCTCAAGGTGGAACTCCCAACTCTGAAAGTAATACTTGAGGGAATCCAGTGACTACTTGATGGGAAGACAATTTTTCTCAATTGTAGAACACATGGTTTCTATGGACAGCAGCTTCCTTCTCAGAAACATAACTGGTTTTGCCTTTTCCACAGTCCCCTGGGCCAGTATCACTCCAATCCCCTTCTCTAAAGTATCAATTTGCCCCAGGAATCGTTTTTCGTAGTTAGGGCTTTCTTAGACTGGGTCAGAGCACATTTTTTCTTTCAGAATTCTCTCCAGGGTCTGTCGTAAATGTTCCTGATGGTCTGCCCAAGTACTGCTGTGGATTACAATATGCTGCAGACCACCCTTTACACCCCTGGAGAACGTGCTCCATAAGCTGTTGGAATGATGCAGGTGCCCCGTGCAGTCCAAAGTGAAGTACCAGTATAAACTGGTAGAAGTCCTGACTCTCTGTGGTCATTAAAAATTCCCATGGCACTTCTCATAAAGAGCAGGGGTGTAACCCCGGTGTCCTGGCCAAAGTCCCTCAATTGGCCTTTACCTATCATGGCCTCCTGATCATCCCCTTCCATTGAATTGGCTCCATCACTGTCTCTTCACTCAACCTATAGCTTGTGTGTAGTGAGCGCACTGGCGCTGTTGTCCTGTAGCTGCCATCGCATCATCCAAGTGGATGCTGCACACTGGTGGTGGTGTGAAGAGACTAAAAAGAGGTAAAAAATGATTGTGAAGCGCTTTGGGTTTGTGGCCATACACAATAAATGCGCTATATAAAAACACATTACAATACGTCGATTTGATGTCATAATTTAGCCACTGATAAAATCAGCCAACAGGCTTTCACCTGATGACGACGTAATCCAATTTTGCAGCTGATGGAATTGTCACAGAATGGGGACTGAGACCAGAACTGCTAGTACGAAGAACAGTTTATTGTAAATAGATAGAACAGGATTATAGCAACAGGTAAAGTCTTTCTCTTGCGTAGATGAGCAGTGGACCAATTGATGGAATAGAAGCGGGGACTGAAGGTGGAGATCAGGGGCCTCATGTACGAAGACTTGCGTGGAAATCTTACTAAAACATTGCGTACGCACGAAGCTGTAAATGTGCGTACGCAGAAAAAAATTCAGATGTATGAAACACTGCGTACGCCGAGTCTCACGCATATTCTTTTGTACATCTGAATGAACGTGAAACTGAGCGCAACATGCACGAGCACAAAACCCCTCCCTGCCTCCTCCCCCGTATGAATATGCTAATGACTATGCTAATGGCAAAACCCAACGAAAAAGCAATGGCAAAAGCAAGCAAAAAGAGAAACTTTGAACAGAATGTGAAATGGAGGTGCTGCTTTCAGAGGTAGACCGGAGAAAAGCGGTGTTATTTGCAAGTTTGTTCTCCGGAATTAACAACAAAAGAAAAAAATAGAGTGGGAGAGTTTAGCTGATACGGTTAACACAGTTGGGTCTGAACATCGCACTGAGTGCATTTAAAAAAGAAGTAGTCTGGTTTATAACTGAAAAATGTTGCAATACCCTAAGCGGTCTCAGTGGCGCACCTCATAAGAAGCATGAGATCATGTACAGTCAAATTCGAGCGTAAACTCGGCTCGAATCCAGCGTCTGATAAATTCTTTCTTATTTTTTCCCCCGCTACATATCAGATTTTGCCCACTATTTATCAAGAGAAAGACAAGTAGGAATCATCAATAAGTTTGTGCATCATATTTTATTTGCACATTTATTGAATGGAAATGTTTCTGATTCACGCATGCAAATTCATCTTCAGATAGTGTCTTTATAGCAATGTGTGTGCGGTAGATTGCTCAGATTACATTGCGACTGCTGCAATTTGCGCTTTAATGTTTAGCTGGTCAACTGTATGGTATGGAAATCTTACATACCTACTATATGAACCCGTCTCATACAGCTGCCATTGCAAGGCTCAGACACTTTGTAGAGAGGAATTTAACACAACTGCCTCTAGGAGTCGCCAATGGAAATAAAACAGACACGCACAAAAAATGTGCGTACGCCTGCCAGAAAGCTGCCGTGAACCTGCGCACATTCCCACGTTCAGTTCATTGTTAGTAAATCCAAACGTGAGCGATTCTGAGCGTGAAACCTGGCGTACGCAAAGTTTTTGTGCGTACGCAGCGTTGATACATGAGGCCCCTGGTCATGGAGGTAATCGAAAAACACACAACCAGGAGGGAATCACACTAGGAAGGAGGAGAGACGCAGACACTAGACATAAACTGTAACAGACAGGTAAGTATAACTAATAATGCAGGGTTTCACTGACATGAAAGCTTGTCCTTCTCAATTTGATGAGACTGAGTGAAGCAGAGGCTGTTTCTCAATTTGCGTTCTTCAGCGGTCTTGCGTCCTCGTGTTCTCATGCAACGTCATAATCAGCTGCCTAAGTTCAGTCCCAATACTCAAGACCGCAAGTACGGAAGACGCATGAAACTTCCCGGATGTGTTCTTGATATCGAGGACGCAACGATGCAGACTTGAGCACCGAACTCACTCTGGAAGTCCCAGATTGCAACTGGAGGTGGGAAGCGCTGCATTTCATCTAGATTTATTATTAAAGTTTAGAGATATCACTTATTTACCTCAGGAGTTTCCCTAAATGAAACGGTGAAAGTAAACATTACCATGGACATCTTAATAAAGGAATAAACACATTAAGGGTGTTTGTTTGACACCTGGCAAGACCGGTCTTCACTAGAACGCAAGTCCGTTCTCTGCTTTCTTGGAATTGAGAAACAGCCTTAGTGTAGGCTTTTATGGGGCTGGGGTGATGACGTGTAGGTGCGGGGTGATTAGTAGTCAGGTGAGAGGGATCTTGCTGATTGCGGTGAAATAGTTTTTTTTTTGTGTGTGTGTGTGTGTGTGTGTGTGATTGGGAGTGGGGAGAACCTGACCAGGCTGTGACTGGAATACAGACCATTTTTCTACTTCTGGTTGTGTTTTGTTTATAAAAACTACCATCGCTTAAATCATAGGCATTAAACTGAATTCCTGGAGGGCTGCACAGTTTTGCTCCAACCTTAATCAAACACAGCTGAACCAACTAATCACGGTGTTCAAGACTACTATACACCACTAGATTAGCTGTGTTATGCTGCGTTCACACTAGACGCGGAACGCGCGGATATATAGCAGTATTCGCGTGTAAATAGCCACGTGAACATTTGAGTTTACTCGTTTCTTTTGCACGTCAAACCCCGCTTCATTCACGCGTCAAATCCGCTTCATTGATGCGTCAAATTGACTTCAGAACAGACGCAGATTCGCGTGATGAGCAGGGCTTCTGTCTGCCTGTTGATTTAGATTCATAGCTAAATGGCTCACATGGATTTTATTAAGAAAATAACAGTGTTTATGTGCTTTATGAAGACTGAAAAACAGCGTCGATACATTTAGGGTCGTGTCTGAGTCCACTAGATCCTTTCAGAGGTGCATTCAGCCCTGTGAGTTTATAAACTTCTTCAGAAACTGAACCTGGATGATGGAGGCTTTCAGCGGTGCTTCTGACTGAGCCCAGCCAGGTTTGATGAACTTTTTGTCTGTGTCGGCTGGAGGATTCCCCCCGGGACACCATCAACAGGTTCTACGTCACAATCACGCCCACACAAGAGCAAGCTACTGATTGGTTAATGCTGTGCGAATGTCCGTTGAAGTTCAGACTTTTAAACTCGCGCAAAACGCTCAATTCGCACTGCGCCATTGGCACCGCGCCATTCGCGTCATTTGTGCTGCGCCATTCGCGTGTATCAAACCGCAGGATGTCTATTCGTGCGTTTGCATTGACTTAACATGTAAATCAATCGCGTTTGACGTGAGTTCCGTGTCTGGTGTGAACACAGCATTAGGGTTGGAGCAAAATTGTGCCGAGCTGCAGCCCTCCAGAAATTGAGTTTGAGACCTATGGCTTAAATTGAGTGTCATTTGTCATATTGACACTTCTGCACTATTATATATATATAATAATAAATAAATACTAATAAATATATATATCTGCTAGTTGAGAAAATGTGATTAATTACTATGCATTTTGTATTACTCAATAATTGCATTAAATGCATCAACTCAATGATCCTTGTCCTGATTTTTTTTTTTTAAGCAGTTATGTAACTGGTGAGACAGACAGTGTATTGAAGCAGACGCAAAACAAAATTTAATACGTGGCGTGGCACCAATTGGAGGGGAGAGATGGGGCAGAGATGTGGTACCACTGCTATGAATGGTTTCTACTGTGACGTTGCCATGTGTGCAAAGTTTCAACGTGGCACTATTTTCTACTTGCCATATATATATGAACTCGATTCTCACTCCGTGCCACACTCAGACCATCAGGAGATCCATGCCTGAAAGTTTCAACAATCAAAGGTAAATCTTTAATTACTTTTTACAACATAAATGTATGTTAGAAATGTTTTGGAATGGGGGATTTGGAGGATTCATACAAATAACTGTCCTAGTGTGTCTTTCTACATCAATAAATTATACAGACATTACAGTTAAGTCATTTGATGTTTTATTTATCTAAATAATAAATATGGCTCTTAAAAATTCATTGTTGAACTAAATTGAGGTGAGTTGAAACTAAGTTCTGTGCTATAAACTGTTGTTTACTCGATTGTAAAGACTTTTGTTTTTACGTTTTTTTTTTTTTTTACGGTACTATAAACAGCATAAATAAGTACACCCTTGACAAATCTCCCTTTTAAATTAATATTTTTTTTATAGGAAGCTATAAAATATTATATTTGTGCATGTACATTAGATTAGTCAGTACTAAAGCCAAATCTCAAGCATATCTAACACAATAACTTATGATAACAGTCCCCAATATTAAATAAAAGTTAAAAAAAAAAACATGCAAAAACATGCAACTTAATTTAATTGACTAATCCAAATCGGCACCATAGACATGCTCCTAGTCAGTAGTTATCTCTTAAGTGCAATCACTATCTGTTCATTAGCTACTACACAGGGGAGTTCCCCAGATCTTCTTGAGCTCAAACTCCCCTCTCGCCTTGCAAACGGGAGGGAGCCCAAGGCTCGAGGATCTTATGAGCTCAGGGCTCTCTCCCGGGACAGCATGCCAAACAAGCTTTATAATCAATCACCAGCTAAGTGTGAACTCTTGAAAATACATTGCCTATATTCACTGAGAATTAGATACATAATATTTATGATGTGCACTGTATGTTATAGTATAGGTAAGTATAATATGACTAAATTGAAAATTGTTAATCATATAGGCTAAAGTAAATGTGGGTTTTGTTAAGCCATGGATTAAACCCCACAAACTTAAAAAAAAGGATTATATTAAAGCCTTATATAGCCTTATAGAGTAGTAGTTTTACCAGCGGTATTCAAAATGATTAAAGTTCTTATAAATTGAATAATCAACCCTGCTTACGTTGTTTATTATAAGGTTTAGATCAATACACACACATAAAACACAAAAGTTCTGTTGCGGTAATTTTTAATAATAATTTGCTTTTTACTTTAACATTGATATTTTACTAAGCATTAATTCCTGTATCATGGCCATCAATTAATGTTTTACTGTTCAAACATATATACATATACATTGCTCAGCATAAATGACTACACCCCCTTTTTGAAAATGTATATTTTTTATTCATTTCTCAGTGAATATAGCCAATAATTTTTGGAGGATTTAATCAAAACGGTTCTATGTTTACTAATATATTACCATACATATATACTAAAAACTACATTTTAGAAACATTTTTACAAAGGATAGAAACTAAATTACAAAGTGATTATGTTAGAGGATGAAAGCATTTTGTTGTGAAGTAAAAAATGAAAGAAATTTAATAAAAAAAGAAAAGAAAAAAACTGAAGCAATCAAAATGAGCAAAACATTAGGAGTGTTAAATCAATCAAGTGTTAGTACACATCCTGGTTGGTCAAACACACAACACAAAACAGCAGTTTTGAATGAGAGGAAAGTAACACTGATTAACAAATGACCTTTTACAGTATATTGACAATGAAAACATATTTTAAAGTGAAATAATATTTCACTGCTTTACTGTAATTTAAAGAAACGACTTCAAAAACCTTAATAAAGCTTTGCTTTAGGTTTTTGTCAATGCTTTTTAAATATTTGGCGTTGTTTTAGTAAAATCATGTGTAATATTAGAAATCGAGTACTATAGACAAATACAGTGAAATACTGTAATAAGTGAGACGCTCGCTGACTTGCCCTGGGGCCTCATGTACGAAGACTTGCGTGGAAATCATACTAAAACGTTGAAAAAAGTAAACTAAACTAAAACTGAAAAAAAAATTCAGATGTATGAAACACTGCGTACGCCGAATCTCATGCATATTTTTTGTACATCAGAATGAACGTGAAACTGAGCGCAACATGCACGAGCACAAAACCCCTCCCTGCCTCCTCCCCCGTATGAATATGCTAATGACTCTACTTTGGCAAAACCCAACGAAAAAGCAATGGCAAAAGCAAGCAAAAAGAGAAACTTTGAACAGAATGTGAATTGGAGGTGCTGCTTTCGGAGGTAGACCGGAGAAAAGCGGTGTTATTTGCAAGTTTGTCCTCCGGAATTAACAACAAAAGAAAAAAATAGAGTGGGAGAGTTTAGCTGATGCGGTTAACACAGTTGTGTCTGAACATCGCACTGAGTGAATTAGAAAAGAAATAGTGTGATTTATAGGTGTAAAATGTTGCTGTATCCTTAACAGTCTCAGTGGCGCAGCTCGTAGAACGCAAGTCAACATGACTTGACACTTTAGAGCATGAACTCGGTTTGAATCCAGCGTCTGATGAACTCTTTTTCCTTTTTTCCCCCCACTGCATATCAGATTTTGCCAACTATTTATCATGAATAAGACAAGTAGGAATCATTAATAAGTTTGTGCATCATTTTATTTGCACATCTATTGAAAGGAAATGTTTCTGATTCACGCATGCAAATTCATCTTCAGATAGTGTCTTTATAGCAATGTGCGTGCAGTAGATAGCTCAGATTACATTGGGAAAACAGGCGACTGCTGCAAATTGTGCTTTAATGTTTAGCTGGTCAACTGTATGGTATGGAAACCTTATATACCTGCTAGATGAACCCGTCTCATACAGCTGCCATTACAAGGCTCAAAGACACTTTGTAGAGAAGAATTTAACACAACTGCCTCTAGGAGTCGCCAATGGAAATAAAACAGACACGCACAAAAAATGTGCGTACGCCTGCCAGAAAGCTGCCGTGAAGCTGCGCACATTCCCACATTCAGTTCATTGTTAGTAAATCCAAACGTGAGCGATTCTGAGCGTGAAACCTGGCGTACGCAAAGTTTTTGTGCGTACGCAGCGTTGATACATGAGGCCCCAGATGATTATTACTGAGAGGTGTCCCTGGTATGTCACGCTTGCCTTTTTTTTATTTACTTGTATTTGTTAGCCGCCTGCCCCAATCTTAGTCTGCCTTTTGGACTCCGAGTGTTTGCTGCCAGCCTGTTAATAAAACTGCGTGTGGATGCCCAGCCCTCTGACGCCCTATTCACACGGGGCTTCAGCGTCAACGCTTGACTGAAAGCGTGTCTGAAGTTGGGGTTGAAGTGATCGTCATAGCCAATAAAATTCAGTCAGCAATAGGCCACTGTCTAGCTGGTGTATTTGCATACAGCGTTCTGATTGGCTGACCCTTCCGTCGGCGCTTGAAAACGCCTGACGTCACCCATTCAAAGTGAATGGGAAGCAATGACGCTGTCACCCCATGTGAATTGGGCATGAGCCTTCCTTACAGATACAGTGTTTCCATATTCTGCAGTTATGATACAATAAAGCACACTATATAATACTCAAGTTGATACATTTTAGCATTGTGCTATAGAAGACAACAGAATATGTGAATATTACCACTATTATTCTCCTAGGGGCGACACAATTGCGCTTTGGGTAACACAATTCCCTCACAGCAAGAAGGTTGCTAGTTCGAGCCTTGGCTGGGTCAGTTGGCATTTCTGTGTGGAGTTTGCATGGTCTCCCTGTGTTGGCGTGGGTTTCCTCAGGGTGCTCCGGTTTCCCCCACAGTTCAAACACATGTGCTATAGGGGAATTGGGTAAACTAAATTGTCCATACTGTATGAGTGTGTATGGATGTTTCCCAGTGATGGCTTGCAGCTGGAAGGCCATCCGCTGCGTAAAACATAAGCTGGATAAGTTGCAGGTTCATTCTGCTGTGGCGACCCCTGATTAATAAAGGGACTAAACAGAAAAAACTCTCAAAACAAGATGATATTTAATATCCGAAAGTGCTTTCCTTTTTGAATAGAACGATTTAACAGGAAGAGTTTGAGTTTATAATACTTTTGTGTGTTTGCAGAAGAGCAAAATTTGGTGTAAAATCAGCACAGCAGTCGTGTGTGTTCATCTGACCTGCAGTCTGTTCATGTGAGTCCATCTTTAACCCACTTTTCAATCAGTTACCATCCTGAATGAAAGAGAATAATGTTTTTTTCTGTTCTTGCGCACATTGTTTTAGTCTGGTGGATGAGAAGATCCTTGAAGACCTCAGAGAAGTAAAACTAAAATCACACAAGACTCTGTTCCTCAACTTTGTGTCCAGATTTCATCAAGATGGCGTTAGTCTCAAGCATGCCATTGCCAACCAAGAGTGATTCATACTCAGCCGAGGACTCTTTAGACGCCATGGTTGAGTGTTTGTTATCATTTGAGAACAGATTTCATTGGTTTGTTACAGTTATAAATGAGATTGAAAAGACATGTGGCATTACAACAGATGATGAACATTTCTGGACAGATGATGACATTAGACGAGCATGGGAAGAAACACAGGTAATGGAAATAGATTACAAAAGAATCCAATGGGCGTATGTGATAACATTCCAGGAGATGAAAATGATTGATAACGATGAACATGAAACAGAAGCGAAAACTAAACATGGCATTTTAACAGCTACAAAAGACTCAGAACCTGAAAGTAAAAAAAAGTCACTAGATGGGCGTGTTCAAGTTATTGGCATTAAGATCCCTCTCTCTGAGCTGTTTGGTAGGGAAGCCACCTCTGAACAAACTGAAACCATCCCATCTGCCTATAAATTAATAGATGGATGCCCTTCAAGAAGAGAAATAAGGAGAAAAAAAACGTACGTCATGTCATACAATGAAAACACCAAGAATGCTGAATGGGTGTATGAGATATTAAACAAGGACACTTTAGCCAAAAAGAAACATGTTAAACGTCAATTAAGTGACTATAGTAAAGTCGCAGGCTACACTCAAGGTCATCTTGCTGCAGCGGGCAATCACGGTTGGTGTCAGGAAGCCTATAATGAGACTTTTTTGTTCAGCAACATTTCACCACAGAGTGCCAAGTTGAATAATAGCATGATGACTGTTTTGGAGGATAGCTGCCGCGCTAAAGCAAAAGACCAAAACTGTAACATCCACATCTACACTGGACCAGTAATATCAGATCCACAATATGTAAACCAAACAAGCAGTAGCTTGCAGAAAGCAGTGCCTCATTCCTTCTTTAAAGTGATTGTTCAGGAAAATCATGACGGCACAATATTACCGCCAATCGGATATCTGATTACCAATAACTCAACTATATTAAAGGATGATACTAAAGATAAATTAAGGAAAGCGAAACCAATGGCTAAATTTGTGGAAACAAAGTGCAGGAAGTTTGTTGAGGATATCGAGAGCATCTCTAATCTGAAGTTCTGCGTATGGGATGTTCACAAGGTCAAAGATGAGATCAGGAGTGTGACGTGGACAGGAGAAGATGGAGAGGGAGAATCATGCAGTGCTAAAATAAAAGTCAGAATAACTATCCCCGAATAATAATGATGTGATCAAGAGCAGAAAATGACAAAGATCCTGTTGAGCCTGAAGAAAAGGTTTTTTATTGACTGGTGTGCTTGGAAAATGTTTTGGTGTGTTTGAGAAAGAATAATAAATTTTCATTTCATACAGGTTTAAACAGAAATAATTTCGGGACAGAATTTTCCCCATATATCTAGACCAAAGTTAATATGTGTGTGTGTGTGTGTGTGTTATAATAAAGGAGTTTAGTCATCTGCATTTAATCATTTAATCTACATTAATAAATTTTACCTTTATTCATTAACATTTATTTACTTACATTAATTCACTTCATTTATTTATGTTTATTCACTTATGCTAATTCATTTACATTTATTCACTTCATCCATTTACATCGATTCATGTTTATAGATTTACTTTTAAAATGACATCTATTCTTGTTCATTCATTTACATTTATTAATATTTGTTCACTCATGCTCATTCATTTTCATTTATTTGTGTTAGTTAATTTACACTTGTTCATTTACGTTCATTCATTCACATTTATTACACATTATTAATTTACATTTATTTACATTTTTGTCATTTATTCAAGTGGCTTTTATCTAACGCGACTCACTAAGAGAAGCTCTTTAAACCATCAGAAGAGCAACAATATGTAGATCCTGTGACGAGTCTTGGTTAGTTTAACATTCAGTTTATTTTACAAAAGAACAAAGAACCAACAAAGATTATATTGAAATTCAGCAGTGCTGTTGTTGGAGAATTAGATAGTTCTCTATATAACCTCATGGTTTGATTTGATTTCTCGTATTCAACAAATAAAAAAACTTTCTCTTTTTCTCTTCTGTAACCAAATACAAAGTCAACATTTAAAGAAAAGTGATCATGCCTTGAAATATGAAATGTGTGTATCTATCATTTCCTATATCCTCTATTCTTCTCTCTGGATGATTTATTGAATATATTGTCAGACAAAAATGAACTACTGTTCTCTGGCTTTTTATTATTGTCCTTTGAGCCTACACTGTGTAAAGTGCTATAGAAATAAAGCTGACTTCACTAAATAAACTCTTGTACTTCGTGAAGTTTATTTATAAATTAATTTCAAGAGGATCACATGCTTATGATTGCTTGCAGCTGGTCCCGCATTATTCAATTTATTATTCACTAATCAGACGATTCCTAAGCCACTATAAATACTTCCATATCACAGCCATCTTCATGTTGAAGACTGCTCTGCTCCGCATCAGCTGCTACTGCTACAACAACTACTGCTTCAAAAACAACAACTAACGCTGCATCTCCAAATATAACTCCAACAACATAAAACCTTCTACTTCAAAGTGCCTCACACAAAACGCATCCGCTGTGTATTCAACCCAATTCTCCAGTAAGATCAGTCAAAACTCGATCACTGTGTGTGAGCTCTGCCTAAACTCTCAAGATGCCGGTGATACAAGCCATTGCAAAGAAGCCGAAATCACATTGCCCTCCTAGCGGTGCACCCGCGGTAACGTACATAGCACGCTTCAAAGGAAAGTCTCACAAAAAAAAAAACACTCTCCAACAAAGACTAAACCTTTCAGAAATCTTTGAAAGATGAGACTAACGTGAATAGAATGATTTCTACCAAAGGAACTCACCTCTCAAGCCTCCCGCCTGTCCACAGATCATTCTAATAGCATGAAGTGTTTCGACTGCAAGGGTCCAGGCAATCCAATCCGTAAAACATCACTCCACAACATATTTATATGTTGATGCGCATCCATGGAATGCACTGTTATCATCCAAACTACTCGCTGGAGTGTGTTCAGTAGCGTCTCCAGTCATAACACTAGTGATTTTGGTCAACAAATAGGCCACCGGCCTTTTGCACTTTTGTTTAACACTCCTTTAAGCCAATAGCTGAACAGAGACGCATCTCCATCCAAAGAGCTCTAAAAAAAACTTGAGATGGTCCCACCCTCTCTCTTGACAGGTTAAGAATGTACTCTGACTTTGTGAATAAATGGAGCCAGATATGCTTATGATTTTATTCACATTAAGATTCCTAACGTAATGTTATTTATTCATGGATTAAAGTAAAGCCCATAACTAACATTTAGTCACACAAAGTGTTGACATCGTTTTTTATGTTCAGGGTTTGATGTTGGCAGTTGGTGTATTTAAAAATATATATAAATAAATAATAATAATAATAAAAAATTTTAAACAAAAATAAATAAGTAAATAAATTATTAATTAATTAACAACCTCAGCCACATCTGATAGCCGTTTAACTACTGAAAAGATTATTACACAGCTATTGAAAAACATTCAACACATCGAGCACAGAAGTCCAATCGTAATATGCCAGTGACTCATATGTTCATATGATCTAACTTTGCAGGATAAAGAAACTCTATCTTTTTTTATTGAGCAAAGTAAAACAGACCAATTTCGCAAAGGACATTCTCAATACAGTTTTGATATCCCCTTCCCCGCACACCCATTTCAAACCCTCATGGCACTCTTACACCACAGGAGAGTGATACCACCTCAGGGAAGCCCAACTGATCCTCTCCACACAGCAAATTCTGGTCTTTGGAATAAACTCCCTGGGAGTCAAAATCAACTCAATCTGAGTGTACATGCATGACCATCAAATGTACTCCCATTCAGAGTTAAAATCACTCTGCTTTTGGAGTTGAATTTTAACACATTTTTTTGAGTTAGATTATAACACTTTCAGGAGTTAAAATTGTAATCCTACAGAGAGTACTTTTACATTTGGGTATAATATAAACTCCCTACCAATGTTAAAATGTAACACTTTTTAGAGTTAAAGTGTACTTCAAACAATATATATATATATATATATATATATATATATATATATATATATATATATATATATATATATATATATATGAAAATGACTGAACTGATGCAATACTCTTTACTTACTGCTTTTATTCATGCAAATCCCACATTACATTTAGAATTTCCATCAATGTACACACTTTGAAATTAATTGTCATTAAAGCATTAAATCTAACAGCAAAACATTTACAATTAATATATGTTAGCAGCTAGTGCCAACTAAAACAATGGCTTAGTAAAATTGCATGAGACAATCAACACATTACATTAAATAAAATTTACTTTGCAGGAATCAAAAGCAGCAAAAAAATATCTTGTCATACTCCTTGATCACAGTCAGCTGGCTTTGAAGTTAGAAATTTCTCAATTTTCTGAAACGAAGAAAAAAAAAGTATTTAGAAAGATAACCAAATTTATTTATTTTTAACAAAAAAAAAAAAACTTAATCTAATAACTGTGTTTATACTATTTTTTACTTTAAAATGCATTCATTTTGTAACAATATTTTGTAATGTTTACAGTATAAGATCTATGTATATGGAAGTTTAAAAAAAAAAAACTTACATTTTTTTGGACACTGCCTATTAAAGGTTGAATAATTTGAGATCCAGAATCACTGCTGCTCAAACTGCTTGACACAGACAATGTATCTGTCAGACTTGGGGAGGAGGGCACTTCAACAGCCCCTTGTTGCAGGACAGTCAAATCTAATAAAAAAAAAAATAAAAAAAAACAACACGTTCAGCAAATGTTTCTGAAATGCACACTTTCACTTGGTCATGAGACCAACTTTCAAAATCTATAAAAATGTTCTTAAATAACCTACCATCATCAGTGTGGATGACATGTTTCTTTGGTTGTTGCAAGTTCTTGAAATACATCCTCATCCACCTCTATGCCATGGTCATCTGTGACTTTCGATGCTGTCTCCTCTGGTATCACAAACTTGTGCTGGACTACAACATAACAACAATGTATAATTTATCAAATAAATTTCAAAATGACTGTTATTATTATTATTATTATAATAATTTTTTAAAAAATACTCTGTTACACTAAAACTCACCCGCACTGAAAAAATCCAAGAAACAATCTTCTTCCAGTTTAATGTATTTTTTCTTGCCTCCAAATTGCACTTTTATCAGCATCGTGGCCTGAAATAAAAAAGATAAATGTTATCTAACAACTTATGTTAGTGTGATTGAAAATGTAATGTAAATATAGCTTAAAACAGCATACTCTCACGGTCACGACTAAATCATGATACAATCCAAAACATTTCATGAGCAATATTACACATATTAAATCTTACAGACATAAAGCTCTATTGCTGGATAAAAGATATTGACATTACCTCATTGTGTAAGTTAGCCTATTTGAAATGTGAACAGCAGGTTTCTCCATCTGATCAAGTAGGCCTACCACTTCTTTTTGACAGCAGAACACACATTTTTAGAAACACAGAGGAAGAAAAGATTATTAGCTAGAGTTAGCTTGTTCACATCCACAACATTTTTAAAAATACTGCACAAAACAGACACATTGGAAAAGCTAACATGCTATGCAAAGTTAGCCACATGCAGACACTAGCCTCACAGTACAAAATGAAACAGCTACAGCAAAACACACTTCTGCTACAAAACATCCAACATTTAGAAAAAGCTTTTAGAATTGTATAACAAGTCACTTTTACCTACCTCACAACGAAGAACATAACTCCAGTTCTCATGTGCTGCTCGGCAGAGTAGTGTAATGGCGGACTTTCTAAAAATTTTACTCCAGTAAGGAGTTAAAGCACGTTTCTGAACACCAGAGAATGAACTCCAAAATACAACACAGCACGGGGTATCCCATAACACAAAATTGTGTTAAAGTTTAAAAATAAACTCAAAAAATTTAATTCTTTCACACTTTTTTGCCTAACTCCTAATTTTTCAACTCCAGAAATTTGCTGCTGACTTCCACCCACATGCACTTTTAGGTATAAGCACGACTCTGCCATTTCCCACTCATCCCACTCCTATTGCCATAGGAGCTCCTTTATTACCCTTCCCCCTTGAACTTTTTCCCTCCAAGCTTGAACTATCCCATACTGCTATTCACTCTCATTCACCACAGCTCTGACCCATTAAGGGGTCACCCCGAGTTTCAGTTGCTGCAGCAGCGATGCTCTAAACGAGCTCACATACACTTACATTTCCAAATACCACTATCGTCACACTCCCCCGCACTCATACAGCATTCATAGCACCACTGCAACTGCCGTGATGCTCTAGTTGAGCCCATATTTACTTTCATCTTTACATATCACTACCGACAGTATGTAACATTGCTGCGGGAGCACTCATAACGCTTAAATACTGACTACCACTGCAGCTTCGCAACAGCAGAGATGCTCTGCCGAGCTTCATTTTCCCTCTGCACCACTGCCGCAGCAGTTACGCTATGTCTGAGCTCACATAGTGTCATTTACATTCCACTACTGACACACTGCCCAGCACTGCCACAGCAGTTTAAACACTTCCGCCGAAGCGTTTTTACCTGTTATTATTGACTTCCATTGCACTTCTGTAACTGCAGAGATGCCTCGCCTAGCTTAAATTCTCTGCACCGCTGACTTCCATTGCACCTTGCAGCTGCAGAGATGCCCCGCCTAGCTTAAATACTCTGCACCGCTGACTTCCATTGCACCTCTACAACTGTAGAAATGCTCCGCTTGGCTTAAATTCTCCTATCCACTACTGACTTCCATTGCACCTCTACAACTGTAGAAATGCTCCGCTTGGCTTAAATTCTCCTATCCACTACTGACGTCCATTGCATGTCTACAACTGTAAAGATGCTCCTGTTACCTACTGGTTGACGCTACAGAGCACTGCACACCAGAACAGCCCGACACAGAAACAGTTTCTTCCCTCAGGCAATCCATCTCATGAACACTTGATGATAATAATTGTGGAACCAACATTACTACTTGCTGTACACTTTTCATACACATATACACTTATTAAACAACACATACACTAATTTGCACTTAACAGCTGCACATATAACATTGTATATAGCTGTACACTTGTCAATTTGAATATCTGCATTCACTACTTCTATTTTTAAAATATATTTATTATCTTTTTTTTGTATTGTCTCTGTTATTCTGTTGCACTGTAGAAGCTCTGTCACCAAAATTATTGACTTCCATTGCACCTCTGCAACTGCAACTGATTCTGATTCTCGTGGTCTTGTCTCGTGTGGATTTGTTGCTTGGAAGTTGCCATAATGTCGATTGTCATTTACTTCTAGTTTAAAAAAAAAAGTTATTTGTCAAAATGCGGTTAAGATTCATTTATTCATTTCCTTTTCGGCCGATTCTCTTTATTAATCTGGGGTCATCACAGAGGAATGAACCGCTAACTTATCCAGCATATTGTTTTACGCAGCGGATGGCCTTCCAGCTGCATCCCATCTCTGGGAATCGGGTAAGATTGCGAAGCACAAATATATTAAATGTTCCAATTAATAGTAGTTATCCAGAGACGCTCTCCAGTATCCTGCCACTTCTCAGCTTGTCATCATGTGACTTGATGATGAATACGTTACTTAAAGCTGGTGATAATCTTTTTTCCTAATGATCGAGGCTTTGTAAAGATTTTTATAACTTTAGTTATTGTATTTTTCACTCAATGCAGTGAGTTTTTTTAAAGTTAATTTTAATTTAAAAAAAAGTAAAAAAAATCAAGTGTTTGGGGCATTCAGTGTGAACCCATTCACATGCTCCACCAGTAGTGGGCACTAGTGGATCGTAGTCAATGACTGGATTTACATATAGACATCAGTATTCAAGTGATTTGATTTAATCTGAATAAAACAATAATTTGATTAAGGCGTTTATTTAAGTCGCTTTTACAATGTTTCTTTCATGATCCTGTTTTACATGTTACAGCACATAATTTGATTAACTTCATTGCGTCTCCATACAATCCAACGTTTCCTCTGGAGTTTCATGTAATTTTGGGTTTTTCATTTCTAATTTTTCCAACTTTAACTGCAGTTCAAGTTTCATTTTCACTCAGGAACATTTCATTCACACCCTCATGACAAACTCTGAGCCACATGTTTTTTTGAGCATTTATATGAGGACTGGGAGAGAGTTGAGGCATCGTTACACAGCAAAGACGGCACAGACACCAAACCTGAAGTTGCAAAAAAAAAATATGCAATTTGCACAAACTGTTTAATGCAGCAGCATCTTTACACTTTATTCTAAGCAGAAACAGGCCTGCTTTAGAGCCTCCTTAAATAGGCTCTAGAGATGTCTTTGTTTTTAATGGAGTTTGATACCACACACACCGAGTGGAAAGATAATGTCTGCACTTTCCTGACAGCGTTTGTAAAGTTGTGTTGGGTGATAAAGGGTGTGGACTTGGAGATGTGTATGTGTGTGTGTCTGTGGTCCTGTACTATCTCAGTAGGTGCTGATAATACAGTGTCAAACAGCCATGTGTGTATGGCTTATCCTGTCACAAGTCCTACATGACTAATAGTTTAAGGTGTTTACACGTCTACTGCACTTACGGAAATAGGAATAATGCTGTACAATAGGAATTCTCCACGTCTTAATTTGATTTTGATTATGACTTTAGTCAGATTAGGGTCATCAAAAATCTCAGCTTACATGGTAGACTCTTAGAGTATTGTCTTAATAGTAAAATCAGAGTATTGGTGTCCATGTAAACATACTCACTGATGACATCTGTCAACGAGACGGAGGGAAGTTATCAAGTGAAGGGTATAAATAAAGTGCACTAAAATGCAGGCTATGAGCTTGATTATCTAGTTCAGGCGTGTCTAATTGTGGTTGGAGCTGAACTCTGCAGGACACATGGACCCTACATGACCGAATTTGGGCAACGTTGCTCTATCGAATTTAATGCTTTTATAATTGCCACTGATAAATGGTCTGATGTTCACTTTTTCTTGGAAATGTTTAATAATAGAACAATGAAAGCAAAACCTGTTCTTGCTGAACGAGGACAGAGTTGCACCACAGGTTGGTGTAGCACAAAAGGTAAGCCTTAAATACCAACCTTTAATATCTAAAGACAGGACATGCTCTCATTTGTTATCATGTCTTACAATTATATGCCACGTCACCCACACTGCCACAGGTATGTGTTTGTTTTTTTATCATCAGGAAGCAAAAGCTAAACTGGACTCATGTCCAAAATATGCATTCATGCCATTCAGAAGAGTATATATAGCAAAGCATCAGAGTAATTTCTGTCTGACTAACCATTTATCTGAGCCTGAACACTTTACTCTCATCGAGCCCTAAGAAGCCAAACCTGCCTGTAGCTGACATCGCCCAGGGTCGCTGATTATTTGGCTATACTCTGAATTAAAAGGTAAGAACTAATAATTTTCATGTTAATTGGAGCTTTATGTATTGTGGAGATGTGGGTAGATGATCTGGTTGCCCGGACATTGTTGGAAAAAGTTACTTTTAAAAGTATTAAATTACAATATTAAGCTCAGCTGAGATGAATATGCAAAAATAAAATGACAACACATTACTTTCCTAAAAAAGGGACTAATTTAGTTAAGAATGTATATATTTATTTAAAAAATAACCTCCCCCAACATTAAATGTTATTTATACATTATATATATATATATATATATATATATATATCCTAGAGATGGGTTGCGGCTGGTAAGGCATCTGCTGCGTAAAAACGTGCTGGATAAGTTGGCGATTCATTCCGCTGTGATGACCCCAGATTAATAATGGGACTTAGCCGAAAATAAAATAAATGAATGAAATATATATATATATATATATATATAAATGCAGACACACCTAAACACAACTGGGTGTACGGAAAGCAAAGTGGTTCTAAAAGTATGTATTTTTTTCGAACTTGAAAATGAAAAGGACCAACATAACTCCAGGCCTACGCACAGTATTAAACTAGGGTGCATAAACTCAGAAATTAGAAAGAAGCCAAGTATACAAACATGAACCACAGAAAATACATAATGGGAGTGTTAGATTAATCTTATTACGCTACTTTGGCATTGCAAGACATGAAAGCATTGTCCATTTTCGTTTTCCGTACACCCAGTTGTGTCGGGGTTGCGTCTGCAGACTCTGTTAGCGCATACACTTCGTTGATGGGGAACTGGAATTCCAGAGGGGAACAGAATCGACTGCTACACCAGGACCACTTTTGCCTTCAGAACTGCCTTAATCCATCATGGCAGAGAAACACAAAGATATGAAATTTGTGTTTATTGCAGCAAATGATAGATAATTATTATAAGGGTTTATAGATAAAAATAAGTAAACATCAGGGTTTTAAGATACAGTACTATACTTACAGTTATAATATGATAAATACTGAACTTAACTATTTTATTTAAACTAATCTTATTATTTGGAGCAAAAAAAATCTGAGCTTTGCTAGAGTCTATAAACACTCTTTTACAAAAACACTCTATAAATCTCCCAAAACAACATTTTTAATGGCATAGTTGACCCAAAAAATGTACATTTACACACTATTTACTCTTCCTCATGTGTTTCCAAACTTGCTCTGCTTCTCTTCAACACAAAAGAAAATATTTTGAAGAATGTTAGAAACCATCGAATATTATGCTGGAATATTCCAAAACGTGAAATTTCATTTTGTTAATTTTTTTTTATCTTTTCTGCATTTATGTTAACCTGCTTTGATGCATTGTAATAACCATTATTAGTGACTTGACTACCATAGCAGGAAATACAAATACCATGCAAGTCAAGGGTTACAGCTTGCCAGCATTCTTCAGAAAATTTAACAGAAGGAAAAAGGTCAAGCAGGTTTTGAACAAGTGAAGGAAGAGTAAATGATACCAGAAATTTCAGTTCCGTGTGAACTGGCCCTTTAAATTCTATAAGCGCTTCATTGAATAGAAAGAATGCTGTAAGAGCTGGTTTAATGTCAGTGACTGAACGTCAATAACATTTCTGATGCTTTTCATTTGTATAATTGCTGTGCGTGATCTTTAATGCTCACGGGTAGTTTCTAGAGACTTAAGGTATTTCCTGTTGGAGTCAACTTGAGGATCATTTTCTCTAATTGTTTAAGGAGACATATGTTTAACTCTAATAAATATGATGTTCTGTAGGAACCACCAGGATTTATACATAGTTCTTGGTTATACTCGGATTTGTTTATAGATTTTGTCTGATTTGTGATGAGTAAGAACTAAATTGTCCTGCCAGTTGCAATGTAAGATACAGTTTCCAAGTAGAAATGCATTAATAAAATGTGTGTGTGTAGGAGAGCAAAAGCTGGTGTGAAGTCATCACAGCAGACGTGTGTGTTCATCTGACCTTCAGTCTGTTCTGGTGAGTCCATTTTTACCTCACTTCTCAATCAGTTATCATCCTGAATGAATGAGACATTTGACTTCAAGTTGTTTTTTCTTTCCTTGTGCACATTTTAGTCTAGTGGATGAGAAGATCCTTGAAGACCTCGGCGAAGTGAAACTTAAAAAAAAAAAAAAAAAAAAAAAAAAAAAAAAAAAAATTCACACACACAAGAGCTCTTTCTGTTGCTGAACTTTGTGTCCAGATTTCATCAAGATGGCGTCAGTCTCACATACTCCTGATGACTATTTAGACGACATGGCTGAGTGTTTGTTATTTTACTTTAACAGGGATCTGTGGTTAAAAGTTAAAAATGAGATTGAAGAGACCTATGACATTAAAACTTGGCCATGTGATAAAATTTTTCAAGCTTTAGAGATAATGGAAGAAAAACATGATCCCAAAGTAAAACAGTGGGCTTGTGTGATAACGTTTCAGATAATGGAAATTCAGGATTATGTGGAACATGTAAGAATAGAAGCAGAGTCTATATTGGCCAAAAGTGAAACTGTAGAGCAACCACCTGTCATTTTGAAGTCCGATGCATCTGATAGACCAGACAATTCATCTCAGAGCAATGTGGTAGTCTGTCCACCTCTCAGTTCAAACAGTTTGGAAGATGAGCAGCCACAAGACAATCCAGCATCCAGTAAAGCTAACAACTCAAACAGATCATCTCAGAGCAATGCTAACAAAAATGATTCAAGATCTAATAAGAAAAATGAGCAGCCACAAGGCACTTTGCCTTCCGGACGATCAAACAATTCATCTCAGAGCAATTTGAGTTGTAGTGCGAACCGTGTTAACCACGAACAAAGTGATAGATCTGAAAGTCCTTCAACCATTGGCATTAAGATCCCACTCTCAGAACTGTTTGGTAGTGAAGCCCACACTAAGAAAGATGAAACAGTCCAATCAAAGTATAAATTAACTGATGGATATCCTTTAGGAACAATAATAATAAAAAAAAAAGTCTTATGTCTCGTCATACAATGAAAACACCAGAAATGCTGAATGGGTGTTTGAGATACTGAACAAGCAGACTTTAGCTTGGAATGTTAAGGGAAATCATGATTTTCACGAAAATAGGAGAATCCCAAACTATGATCGTGGTCATCTTGCTGCAGCGGCCAATCACAGGTGGTGTAAAGAAGCCTATATAGACACTTATAAGCTCATCAACATTTCACCACAGGACTCTGAATTAAATAGACGCACATGGAAATATTTGGAGAATATGTGTCGTAAAAAAGTAAATGACCAAAAAAACGTCCACGTGTACACTGGAACAATAATACTATGTTCACAGTCTGCAAACAAAACAGAACATGGGCAAGCAGTGCCAGATTACTTCTATAAAGTGATCGTTGAGGAAAATAATGATGGGACAGTACAAGAGCCCATGTGCTATCTGGTTTATAATGACAAAACTAAAGTAAAACATGATCTTAAAGATTGGAAGATGAGTAACGAAGAACTGCATGACTTTCTAAAACAAAAATACAGAATTCACATTGAGAACATTAATAAGAATGAAAAAGATGAGAACAATAGGAACATTGAGAACATTAATGAGAACGAAACTACTGGGAACACTATGAACATTATGAACATTGAGCGCACTGAGGAAAACATTGAGGACATTAAGGACATCATTGGCAAAATCTTTGTAAATCCTGCTCCGGCGTACACAGATGAGATCAGGAGTGTGAAATGGACAGAAGAAGGTAATGGAGACGCATTACATAGTGTTCACATTGAAGTCAGAATGAGCATCCCTGAAAACTCCAATAATAATAATAATAATCCAACAGTGCAGTAAATCACTTTAAATCTTACGACTGAAGCAGGATTATTTGTTTGTTCGTCTCTCATGAGGGTGTTTGGATGATCTGATCATCTGTGGGGGAAACGAGAGGAAGATTATTAGAGTGAGTCTGCAGTAAATTCACTAATGGTTCATAACCGAGAACCAATATTTGATTAACTAATTCAAATCATGTTGATTAGTATAGCGCTGCTCACAATAATTACTGTTTCAAATCAGCTTTAAAAGGTGCACATTACTGCATTACAATCAAAATTAGAAAAGTTAAGGATATTAGCTATCATAACTTTAACTAGTAACTGATAGCTTTTAACAGTTATATATAAGTATAGTTAACTTGCAGTTATCCAGTATATAGGTGATGTCTGTGTGTCTATGTTCAAGTCTATTAGGTGTATGTGTTGTCCTCCAAGTGCTCGATAGTTGGCATCAATCGTATTTGTAACTCGTTTCTTTCATGCAGGCTTAACAGTTATGTTTTACAGACAGAATGTTTCTCACAGGTCTAGATTAAAGTTACGTGATTCACAAAATAAGTCATTAATGTTCATTTTTGACAATGTTTGGCTAAGATAGTTAAGATATTGGAAAACCCACAATCTGTGGTTTAAAAAAAAAATCAAAATATTGAGAAGACCGAATATAGATTTAATCAAATTAAGCTGTGTGTGTCTGTGTGCTCAAAATTTATGTATGCATTGAGATGGGTTGAAAAGCAGAGGACCAATTTTGAGAATTGTGTAACTTTTCATTACTTTACTCAAAGTAGTCACGTTAAAAAGGTTGACCACTAGGATTTAAAGTGAAATACCAACACCAGCACATATTTGTTCTATATATATATATATATATATATATATATATATATATATATATATATATATATATATATATATATATATATATATATATATATTCTTAGATGGAAAATATGTTGAAATAAAGAATAATGTACCCAAAATAAAGTTAAGAAATGCCCAATATCTTTGAAACTCTCTCGAAACACAACAAAACAAAACAAAAATGTCTTAGCTGCTGGATGATGATCTTTTCCTTTAGTTAAGCATAGAAAATATATATTAAGAAAATGGTCACCGTTTCGGAGTAGAAAAAAAACATTGAGTGCGTTGAAATATGTTGGTCTACTTTTGCAGACTTGATGAATGAAACTTAATGATGCTATCCAAAACATCAAATCTTATTTAGACAGCATACCAATACAACTTTCCAAACATTCAGTAATCAAGACAATAAGGAAGTCCCTCTAACAAAATTAAAAAAAACACCAAAAACAAACATAAGAATTTCAAACATATTGAAAGAAGAAAGAATGTAAGCATACTCACAGGCTGAGCTTTAAACGCAAGGGTTCACTTCTAGGACTTCACTATACAAACAGTTTGAAGCAGCTCCAAGGAACCACGTCTTCCCTCTACCACAATTGAATCTACTTCTTCATTCACCCACTCACCTATTATACATTCCAGGTGTTTGACCAGCGCCCTCTAGTGCCCTGTAGTTCCATTTAAACAGCATTTTTTATTTCCATTATTCTAAGGATAAAAAAAAGTGACAGAAATTTCATTCTGTTACAATGGGTAAAGCCATCACTGACGAGGCGGCTCACTTCACAATTTGAGCTTCCATATATTTACAGTGAATTTTGCTAAATTTCTTCACAGAACCTGATCTTTACTTAATATTCAAACGACTTTTGTCATAAGAAAAGTCAACAGGTTTTACTTTTGGCTATTACTAAACCTATAGTTGTGCATCATAAGACATATGTATGTGTGTATGTTATATTAAGAGAACAAAAGTCTAGACGAATGTCTACATTTCTTACTTTTACATTTTAATCATTTACATTTATTCACTTACACTTATTCTTGTACATTTATTCATTTTTTATTTACATTTATTCATATGCAGACTTTTATCAAGCAAGACTCACTCTAAAATACAGAAAATCACGTGTCTAACAATGTGTAGATGCTGTGAGTCTCTTTGTTTATTAGATTTGTGCTTGTTTGTTTGTTTGTTTGTTTTAAAAACAAGTGCTATTGTTGGATGATTAGGCACTGATGTATGTAACCATTTTATATGTATGCAGTGCTCAGCATATATAAGTACACCCTTTACAAATCTCTCTTTTTAACTCATGTTTTTAATAGGAAGCTCTACAATATTATATTTGTGCATGTACATTAGATTAGTCAGCACTAAAGCCAAATCTGGAGCTCATCTAACAAGATAACTTATGATAACAGTCCAAAAACTAGTACAGCCACATTTATGTTATAGAAAAATATTAAATAATATTTTTTTAAAAGAGGAAAAATCAAGAGAAGCAAAAAATATTTGTTCTTTGCAATATTTTGCTTGAATTAAATTGTTTTATTTTTCAATTTCTAAAGATGTTTGGTGGCTAAAATATTATTTTAATAAATACATCAGTTTGATAAACCTGTTTTGTTTAAATGCACCAAAATACACAGCCTAATGTTACGATCACAACAGAAAAGAAAAGAAAAGAAAAGAAAAGAAAAGAAAAGAGAGCCAATACCAGAGAAAATCTGAATTTAACAAGCTTTGTTTATTACATGAGATAAGGATATACAGTTGAAGTCAGAATTATTACTTTTTTTACTTTACTTTTTATTACTGACACTTCTATACAGCTTTAAGTAACATCTAAAGGCTTAACTAGGTTAATTATTGTATAATGATGGTTTGTTCTGTAGGCACAGGTTTAAAAAAGGTTTAACTTAAAGGGGCTAATAATATTTAGCTTGAAATGGTGTTTAAAAAATTAAAAACTGCTTTTAATCTAGCCGAAATAAAACAAATAAGACTTTCTCCAGAAGAAAAAATATTATCACAAAATTTTGTGTGAAAATTTCCTTGCTCTGTTAAACATCATTTTGGAAATATTAAAAAAAGAAAACAATTCAAAGGGGGGCAAATAATTATGTATCTTCAGGGGAAGACCGGGCCAAAAATAACTAACAAAAATATATATATTTACCAACTGTCTTACTTAAAGAAAATAATAATAATAAATAAATAAAGTACAGCAATTACTTATCTAACTCCCTTTTTCCCAAAACAATAACAAACGTACAAAAAAACAACAACAAAAAAACAATGTGGCGTCAATCCCTCTACTTCTCTTCACATAATTATTTACAGGGGTGTTTTATATTATTACAAGTGTGTATTGTGTTATCCACAACCCTTAACATTATGAGTAGAAAAGAATGAGCAAGAATAAACTTACAAATTGAAACAAGAAATGACAGGAGAAAATCAAAACAAAAATCACAATATTAATCACCCTCTTAAATGTGTCTATACACCCCAAACATATTTCAATCTCTCTCTGGCATAGTGTTCAATGGTGGGCAAAACAGAGAAATACGCTGGAGGAACATAAGGGCCCCCAAAGCTAATGCATAACACAAGTCATAAGTCATTATTCAGGGTATGTTGAGATGAGAACCAATCGAATCCATCATCAAGTTTCCTCCAGAAGCCGTCTTCCTTCAATCAAAAGCAAAAACACACAAAGGGAACACCAGAGGGCAGCACAGATCCACACACATCAACTAAATGTCATGACACTATATTCACTGAGAAAGAGGAAAATGTTCATTTTCAAAATGGGGTGTACTTAATGATGCTGAGCTCTATATATTATGTATATAACCTCATGATTTGAGTCCACATAGTCAAACAAATATAACATAATATTTATCACTGACAAAGGAAAAACCAATGAAATTAAATGTAATAGTGACCATGCCATGCCATGAAAAATGTATGTATCATTTCCTGTCCTCTATTCTGCTCTCTGCCTGATTTATTGAATATATTGTCAGACATGACAAAATGAAACTGTGTTATTTGTGTAGTTATGGCAGTCTATTTTGTATAAAGTGCTACAGAAATAAAGGAGACTCAACTAAACTCTTGTATTTATTTTTTCTTTTCTGGGAGAATGTCTTTAAATGGAGATCATGCCAGCCTTGATTAAAGCTTATTCAAATGTGTAGTTTGCATTTCATCTGGTTTTTGCTTCAGAAAGATTTACAGAGCACTATTTTACAGTGCATCCAGAAAGTATTGATAGCGCTTCACTTTTTACACGTTTTTATGTTACAGCCTTATTCCAAGATGGATTAAATTCATTGATTTCCTCAACATTCTGCACACAATCCCCCATAATGACAATGTAAACAAAGTTTTTGAAATTGTTGCAAATTTATTAAAAATAAAAAAGCTGTAAAATCACATGTACATCAGTATTCACAGAGCTTGCCGTGAAGCTCTACATTGAGCTCAGCTACATTCTGTTTCCACTGATCATTCTAGAGATGTTTCAGCAGCTTCATTGGAGTTCACCTGTGGTCAATTCAGCTGATTGGACATGATCTGAAAAGGCTTACACCTGTCTATATAAGCTCCCAGGGTTGACAGTACATGCCAAAGCACAAACCAAGCATGAAGACAAAGGAATTGACCGTAGACCTCCGAGACAGGATTGTCTCGAGGCACAAGGCTGGGGAAGGTTACAGAAACATTTTTGCTGCTCTGAAAGTTCAATGAGCACAGCGGCCTCCATCTTCCGTAAGTGGAAGATGTTTGAATCCTCCAGGACTCTTCCTAGAGCTGGCCGGCCATCTAAGCTGAGTAATTGGGGAGAAGGGCTTTAATCAGGGAGGTGATCAATAACCTGATAGTCACTCTGTCTGAGCTCCAGAGTTCTTCTGTGTAGAGTGGAGAACCTTACAGAAGGACAACCATCTGTGCAGCAATCCACCAATCAGGCCTGTATAATAGTGTTACGACTGGAGTTTATTTATTTATTATTGCGGATTGTACTCTGTCTTTTTCTTTTGTCCCGCCTCCTTGTTTTTCTGTTGTCTCAGGCTCCCATCCTGGCGTGATTCCCTGTTCTGATTAGCTGCTGGTTGCAAAAGCATGTATAAAAAGGAGCTTCCGGCAGGGATCGGGGAGCTCATTTCTGTGCGTTCAGTGTTTGGAGTGGAGCTCCTGGGTTTCCCTCACCCCTCCGGCCGACGACCAACAACCAACATTTTATTGATGACAATCATACGTTAAAATATTTTGAGAGTTTGAACGTGTAGGGGTGGCCTGCCTATTTATTTGATTACTTTTGACTTTGTTTATGTTAGGGAGTAAGGTAAGCTTTTTTATATTTTTCTTTAAATAATAATAGGTAATTTATTGGATTTATTTTATAGATTATTTTGTTTATTATTTTGGCCTGTGGTCACCCTGACGAAATGCTCATTTATATTAACCACATTTTTCTATAATAAATCTATTCATAGCCCATATACTCTCAACTGAGTGTGTGAGTTTGGTTGTCGAGCGAAGGGAATTTTTTTTGCTTTAAGTTTTGTTTTGTTTGGGTAAATCCACCACCCTAACACATTTGTTTTTTCTTTATTTATTATGCCCTTTTTGTTTCCCCTAGACTTGGGGCGTGATAGGTAGAGTGGCCAGACGGAAGACACTCCCCGCCTGGAGTTTGCCAAAAGGCATCTGAAGGACTCTCAGACAACAAGAAACTAAATTCTCTGCTCTGATGAGACTCAAATGTAACTCTTTGGAGTGAATATCAGGCGTTACATTTGGAGAAAAGCAGGCAGCGCTCATCAGCAGGCTAACACCATCCTTACAGTGAAGCATGGTGGAGGCAGCATCATGCTGTGGGGATGTATTTCAGAAGCAGGAACTGGAAGACTAGTCAGGATAGAGGGAAAGATGAATGCAGCAATGTACAGAGACATCCTGAATGAAGACCTGCTTCAGAGTGCTCTTGACCTCAGACTGGGGCAACGGTTCATCTTCCAGCAGGACAATGACCCAAAGCACACCACTAAAATATCAATAGAGCAGCTTCACAACAACTCGGTGAATGTCCTTGAGTGGCCCAGCCAGAGCCCAGACCTAAATCCTATTGAACATCTCTGGAGAGATCTGAAAATGGCTAAACACCGTCACTCCCCATCCAACCTGATAGAGCTTGAGAGGTGCTGCAAGGAGGAATGGGCAAAAATTCCCAAAGACTGGTGTGCAGAGCATGTGGCATCATATTCAGAAAGACTTGAGGCTGTAATTGCTGCCAAAGGTGCATCAACAGAGTATCGAGCTAAGGCTGTGAATACTGATGTACATGTGATCTTACAGCTTTATATTTGTAATAAATTTGCAACAATTTCAAAAACTCTTTTTCCACATTGTCATTATGGGGGATTGTGTGCAGAATGTTGAGGAAATCAATTAATTTAATCCGGAATAAGGCTGTAGCATTAAAACATGTGGAAAAAGTAAAGTGTTATCAATACTTTCCGGATGCACTGTATGACTAGTCCCAGCTCTAACACATTACACACAAACAAATCTTTTTTTTATAAAGCAGATAAAATGGAAAAGGACAAAGAATATTATAAATACTGTGAATAGAGGAGGGAAAGATGTTTTTGTTTTTGTTAAAGAGGTCATCTCTAAATAAAAGCAGTTGACAAATTTACTTAGACCACAAAAAAAACAACCTGTGCATTTGAAATTTGTGTAAAATTTAAGATAGGGACTGGTGAAGTTAAAGCCCTGAACATAAAGAGGGCTGAACACAGGTTGTGAAACAGGACATGCTGTCATTGATTAAACAGGAAGACACATTTATAAATTTCTGTGAATTTCTGTTGTATTTCATGTAAAACAAGAAGCTTGACTGATCGTCTCTTCTAGGTATATTTCAGCAGCTATATATTATTGCTTAGCCACAAACTAATTATGTCCATCATCAGCAAACAAGACTTATGACCAAAAAAGGCTACAGCTGAGAAACTCTGTGTCCAGAAGCGTATATATAATGTAGTGTCAGAGTCATTTCTGTCTTAATATCTGAGCCTGAACACATCAAGGCCCAAGAAGCTGAACCTGCTGTAGCTGTACAGACATCGCCCAGGGTTGCTGAATAGCAGACAACACTCTTAAGTAAAAGGTGAGAACTAATTATTTTCATGTGAATTAAGATTTATGGATTGTTTAAATGCACAGTTGTTAACATTTAAAGTGGATAAAGTTTTTCAAACAGTTTAATGACAAAAATGGATGTTGTTCAGTAGTTTTAGGACAACTTTGATGAAAGGTTTTGATCCACTTTAAATGCTGACTACTGTAGGTAAAAATATTTGGTTGCCTAGATAAAAAGCCCAGCTTATATGAAAAATTATATACTATATGAATATATACTTTCCTTAAAGGTAAAAAAAATGGTATACAACTCTTTATAAAACTAGAAATAGAAGTTCTGAGAGAGCTTTGCTTCATTAGATAGTAAGAACCTGTTATATACAAGGTATTTTTGTGTTTGCTGTGTTTGAAGGAGATCAAAATGTGGTGTAAAATCAGCACAGCAGATGTGTGTGTTCATCTGACCTTCAGTCTGTTCATGTGAGTTAATCTTTAGCTCGCTTCTCAATCAATTACCATCCTGAATGATGGAGACATTTGACATAAGTTGTTTTTGTGCACATTGTTTTAGTCTGATCAGAGGAGAAAGTCCATTACATACATTGAGATTTTCCAGTTTTTTATAGTTTAAGAAATTTAAATAGTTGACATTTGTAGTAGACAAATGTGGGTACTTTGCCTAAAAGTGTCAGTCATGCAGCTAAAAAAAGGGCAGTTTTAGGTGCTAAAAAAATTGTGTTACAATCATCCCGGGTCTCCCCCTACTTTTTGAAAACTTGCATTTGTGAATGTGAAATTTACATAGTAACAGAATAAAGTTTATAATAAAGCCAGCGTCTTTTAAAGAGCGATCCTTATCATACTTAATAACCCAAAACCACATGTTTATAAGATACGAATAATGTTTATAAAGTATTATGAGAAATGAAAGCTTCAACATTAATCCAAAAACTCAATGTCAATTTTTGTATAGACAAATGTTGTAGGGTAAACAATATGAACTAAGTGATGTTTCTGTAGTCTTATTTGTAAGGGTAAAATGAGTTAATGACAATAGGAGTCCAGTTTACATTATTAAATAAATTGTTCCAGTGAAAATAGTGAAAAATAACGTAAGGCACAGGAGTATTTTCTTGTAAGATTGGAGACGGGATTGCGCAGAGGTGAACTGCGCATGACAGAAACAGCTGCGCTTCATAGAGCCGATCCTGAAGTCGCGACGCAGAGCTGAAGCTGATTACCAAGAGCTGTGAGCGTCCATTTCAGAGAAGTGAGTTCTAAATGTTTCCTTACTTGTTTGAGATAATTTAAATATGCATACATTCAGAAATAATGGTGTAGTTGGTTATAAATAAACTCAAAAGTGAATGGCTTGTTGTGAGTAACGGTGTTTGTCATTATACAGAGTGATGAAGCGTGATTTCAGTCTCTTTTCTGTATTGTTCCTTACTAGTTAATATGTAAAGGATCATTATTTACAACATAAATAATTTATTGGTGCAAGCTATTGTGATATTACACATGCTAAACTAATATAACTATTAAATAACAGTGAATGAAAGTAAATAAAACGTAAAACGTATCACATTAGGGGTTTTTTCTCTATATTTTTCGTTTGTGTTTCATGTTTACTATATGCCACACCCTAAGTTTCGACTTTTGTGTGTAGAAGCTTAATAGACGTTTTTCATTTGTTTTCATTCACATTTTCATTATTAATTACGACCTTAAATGGCGAAAATAGATTAATTTAGGCTTATTTTATTTGAAAAAAAAAAACAGATGATCAAAGCTGCGTCAGTTTTCCCGTTAACAAACACACAAAGAGGATTAATGTTTGAACTTTTTATCAAAGAGTCGAAATGTCAACACTAAATAAACAGCTGCAGCCAAATATGAACAAAATAATATAACAGAATGGGCTAAAATATGAACAAAACAGCTCAGAGATAGTCTCTGTTAACTTTCTTAAATAGACAAAACGTTTGTCCGCCCATCATTATCTTTAAAATGGGTTTATTTGTACGTGAAAACAACAGCAGCAGCATAATAATGGATGTCACGTTTTACTGCGGTAAAACTAATCGCGAAATCGAAAGTGAAACTGTAAAAGGGTTCCGTTTGGTCAAGCTTAATGATGGACACATTTATCTAGAACTGCAATGTTTACATCAATGTTGGACAACATGCATTTCTTAGCTAAAAGAGTCTGTCGTTAATCTACACAGTACACATGAACAAACGGAACCCTTTTGAATGGTTTCACTTTCGGTTTCGCGATTATGTGCTGCAGACTACGCCCATCCACACACAGCTTCACAAGACCCACCATACTGCAGTGGCTATTGTTTGTGCTGCTGGAGACTGCCAAGTGAACATAACAGAGAACTGGCAAGAGGAAATAAGCGCCTGTGGTCAGTTCTCTTCTACAGCATGCATTTAAAATGAATGACAGGTTGTTTATTTAGCTTGGAAATAATATGTGTTTAGTGGAGGACTAGTTTTTATGTAAATCAGCTCATGGGACATGGTTGTGATGTGCACTAATATTATAAGTAGTTTTGATGTATTCCTTGGTAATTGTTCGCTGTGCTGCTTATGACTTGCATTTGTTTGGAATACAGATAGACATGATCAGGGGTGGACTGGGACAAAAATTCCGACCACATTATCACATTAGACCACATTACCACACTGACACAGCCCCACCCACGGACACGCACATTCACTACTTAAATTGGTGTACAGATGGTGAAATAATATAAGCTGTATAACATGTAATAGATATTTACGATCCATTTCTGACAAATAGCTTGTGTTGCACTTACTGTTTGTTTGACATTCTTTGCCAGATTTTGATTACGTCTGGTAATCTCTGATTCGGTCAGCCCATCTCAAAACCAGCTGGCTAATATTAATAATATTATTATTGTTTCAATTATCATCATCATCATCATCATCATCATATTCACATCTTGCAAGAGATAATAACAGCCTGCATGTAAACACAATACATGTAAAAAATAAATAAACAAATAAATAAAACTGACCGGCCCTTCTGGCATTTGCCAGAATTGGCAGATGGCCAATCTGCCCCAGGACATGATGTTGCCCCAGGACATGATGTTGATGGATGGATGGATGGATGGATGGATGGATAAATAGATAGATAGATAGATAGATAGATAGATAGATAGATAGATAGATAGATAGATAGATAGATAGATAGATAGATAGACAAATAGATAGAGAGACAATGCTTTGCTTCATTGAATAGTAATAACACATTATATAATATGTTTGTGTGTGTGTAGGAGAGCAAAAGCTGGTGTAAAATCTTTCCAGCAGACGTGTGTGTTCATCTGACCTTCAGTCTGTTCATGTGAGTCCATCTTTACCTCGCTTCTCAATCAGTTACCATCCTGAATGATGGAGACATTTGACATCAAGTTGTTTTTTCCTGTACTTGTCAGCCTGATCAGAGGAGAAGATTCTTGAAGAAGCTGAAGAAGTGAAGCTGAATCACACAAGAGCTCTTTCTGTTGCTGAACTTTGTGTCCAGATTTCATCATGATGAAGACAGTCTCAAGAGGAGACTCCATGTTAACACCTCCAAGGAGGGAAGATCCTCCTGACAACTATTTAGACGACATGGCCGAGTGTTTGTTATTTTACTTTAACAGGTTTCAGTGGTTAGAAGTTAAAAATGAGATTGAAGAGACCTGTGACATTAAAAACCAGCATTTATGGTCAAATGAAGACATTAAAAAAGCTTCGGATGAAACGGAGAGAATGGTAAAAAAACGTGATCCCAAAGTCAAACAGTGGGCTTGCGTGGTAACATTTCAGATAAAGCAAAGGTTGGATTATGAGAAGCATAAAACATCAGAAACTCAGTCTAGTCTGACTGATGCAGCGCAGCCATTTGGCACTGTGACGCCTGATCTATCCCACAGACCAGCGGACAGAGCATCTCAGAGGGGTTATTCAGCCATCGGCATCAAGATCCCACTCTCAGAACTGTTTGGTAATGAAGCCACCTCTGAGCAAGCTGTAACAATCCCATCAGAGTATAAATTAACTGATGGATGTCCTTCAAGAAGAAAAATTACCAGAAAAAAGTCTTACGTCTCGTCATACAATGAAAACACCAATAATCCTGATTGGGTGTTTGAGATACTGAACAAGCAGACTTTAGCTCAGAATTATACAGGAACTGGAAGGTTTCCTGAATGTGACATAGGTAAAGACTACAATAAAGGTCATCTTGCTGCGGCTCGCAATAACAGGTGGTCTAAACAAGCCTTTGAAGACACTTTTGATCTCATCAACATGTCACCGCAGCTCGCTGAGTTAAATAATTGCATGTGGAAATCTTTAGAGCATAGGTGTCGTAAAAAAGCAAAGGATAACAATATCCGTAACCTCCACGTGTACACTGGAACAATTATACTAGATTCAGGATCTGTAGGACAGAGCGGAAACAAGAAAGCGGTGCCAGATTACTTCTATAAAGTGATTATTGAGGAGACAGATGGGACGGTATCAAAGCCAGTGTGCTATCTGATTTATAATGACAAAGACAAAATAAAACATGATCTCGAAACAAGGGGACCTGAGCGAGACTTTCTAACCCAAAGATACAGAATTCACATTGAGAACACTGAGAATGAAAATATCGGGAACATTGAGCACACTGAGAAAACTGAGGACATTAAGAACATTAAGAACATCATTGGCAAAATCTTTGTAAGGCCTGCTCAGATGTACACCGATGAGATCAGGAGTGTGACGTGGACAGGAGAAGGTGATGGAGAAACTTTACATAGTGTTCACATTGAAGTCAGAATGAGCATCCCTGAATAATCAGCAACGTATAATAATAATGATTCGACAGTCAGTGGTGGAAAGAGTACTGAAAAATCATACTTAAGTAAAAGTACCATTACTTACCTAAAAATGTAGTGCAAGTAGAGTAAAAGTACCTGTTTTAAATATTACTCAGAATAGGAGTAACAAGTAGCCCTTTTAAAAGTACTCAAGAGTAGTGAGTAGTGAGTATTACGCTGTTTAAAGTTGATGCATTTACATGTCATTTGTGTATGTGTGTGTAAGCCTAACATCCTGTAGTGCATTTAGTTATTGCCCAGCAGACACACAATGTCATAATCATGTAATATTAGGTTAGATTTAGGTTGTGATGTCAGGTGACCAAAATTAGTCTAAATTAGTCTAAGGACAACATTATTTTGTTGTCCAATAATGACATCAAATAATGTTGATATTTGGTTGATTTTAGGTTGTTAGAAAGTGATTAAAACAACCCGGGCTCATTGTGGAAATGTAGCCCCGTAGACGTTTCTGCGGACCGCGATTTACGTCCCGGGAGGTACATATTCGAGCGGTTTTTGTTTTCGCAGATTGGCAAGAGGCCGATGTGCGCGCTTTCTCGCGTCTCAGGCGCCTCTCGGGAGCGCGCGCCGTTCGCGCCCGCGCTGTTCTCGCGCGAAAAGCCGCCCTCCTCTTCCTTCTCCTCCTTCTCTAAACCCAAGCGACGGTTTGCAAAAGCAATCCAGAAAAAATAAAAAGGAAAAGCCCTCGTCTTCGATTTCGACCGCGTTTTCGGATCCCGCCGCATTCTCGCCCTTATTTTTCGGATTCTGTTTTTCATATTACCTGATTTCCGGAACCGATGTTCCCTGGATGCGATCCCGGTCGTCGTCCCTGCGGCCGGTTCCTCTTCCTCCTCCGGGGCTTCCGCTCCGCCGACGCAACGCTGTGCACTAAGCGGACAAACTGGTTGCATCGGGAAAGCCCTCAACTTGGAGGCGAGCCGTCGACCGGCGAGCGCGAAAAGGAGGAGCGGAGCGGCGCCACACCACCCCGCAGCGTTCGCTCGAAAAAACTTAACGCGGCCTTACGTACCTCCGGCCACGTAAATCGTGGTCTCCAGAAACGTCCGCGGGTCTACGTTTCCAGAATGAGCTTGGGTTGGATTAAAATCCAATATGGAGCCAACATCTTAAACAGACAACATATTGACGTCAAATACTGACATTTATTCATCAGTTATGGCAAACAAAATTCAACGTCTGATAGAGGTCATAGTGGTAACGTCATTAGACGTTGATATCTGGTTGGTTTTAGGTTGGACGTTGGACAGTGACATCGGGCTGACGTTGAGTTCTGATGTAAACCCGATTTTTTTTTTGAAGGAAAGTAGTGAGAGTAAAAGTGCAGATAGTGCACTAAAAATGTACTCAAGTGAGAGTAAAAGTACACATTTTTAAAACTACTCAGTAAATTACAATTCCTGAGAAAAAGTAATTAATTACAGTAATTTGAGTATTTGTAATTAGTTACTTTACACCACTGCTGACAGTGAAGCGATGCAAGTTTATTTGTATAGTGCTTTCTACAATATAATTATTATTGTTAACAGCATTATTGTTTCAAAGCGGCTTTACAAAAGGTGCACAGTAATGCATTACAATCAAATTAAGTTAAAGTTACCATCAAATGTAAGTTATTATATACAGACACGGTTAACCTGTAGTTATATAGTATATACAGTTTAAGTCAGAATTATTAGCCCCCGTTTAATTTTTTCTCCAATTTCTGTGTAATGGAGAAGATTGTTTTCAGCACATTTCTAATCATAATAGTGTTAATAACTCGTCTCTAATAACTGATTTATTTTGTCTTTGTCATGATGACAGTAAATACTATTAGACTAGATATTCATCAAAACACTTCTATACAGCTTAAAGTGACATTTAAAGGCTTAACTAGGTTAACTAGGCAGGTTAGGGTAATTAGGCAAGTTATTGTATAATGATGCTTTGTTCTGTAGACTATTGGGAAAAAATATAGCTTAAAGGGGCTAATAATATTGACCCTAAAATGTTTTTTTTTTTTTTATTAAAACTGCTTTTATTCTAGCCGAAATAAAACAAATAAGACTTTCTCCAGAAGAAAAATTATTATCAGACATACTGTGAAAATTTCCTGGCTCTGTTCTACATCATTTGGGAAATATTTAAAAAAAAAAAAAAAAAGAAAAAAATTAAATGGGGGCTAACAATTCCGAATTCAACTGTAGGTGATGTTTATGTGTAGATGACGTATATTTGTGTATTAAGTGTTGTCCTGAAAGTCCTGGATGGTTGGTATCATCTCTATGTATATGTTGTCCTGGAACACAAGAGAATGATTATTTATGCGAGTCTGATGTGAATTCACTAGTGGTTAATAAGTGAGAGAGAGTGTAACTAATTCAATTAGATTTAAGTTTATTCAACCTGGGCTCATCGTGGAAACGTAGCCCCGCGGACGTTTCTGGAGACCCCAAAATACGTCCAGGGAGGTTCGTATTTGTGCAGTTTTTGTTTTTGAGAATCTACGAGAGGCTGCTGTGCAGCGCTTTTTCACGTCTCGAACGCCTCTCGGGAGCGCGAGCCGTTCGCGTCCATGCTGTTCTCGTGCGAAAAGCCGCCGGAGGCCGCTATCGAGCGACCGTATGTCAGGCTGAACAACTGGCCGAATGACTGAACGATCAACTCGGCGACCCAGCCGCCCTCCTCCTCATCCTTCCCTAAACCCAAACGACGATTTACAAAAGCTATCCAGAAATGAAAAGCAAAAGCCCTTGTCCAATTTTGACCAAGTTTTTGGATTTTGCCGCATTCTCGTCCCGTCATGAACTCGTTCGCTTTTATTTTTTGGATTCTGTTTTTCATCTTACCTGATTTCTGGAACCGCCGCCAACGTAACACAATGAGCGGACAAACTGGTTACAGCAGGAGAGCCTTCCACACGGAGGTGAGCGAGCAGTCTGTCGCAGCCGGCAAGCGCGAAGAAGAGGAGCAGCGTCAGACCGCTCCACAGCGTTCGCTCAAAAAAACCAAATGCGGCCATACGTACCTCCGGCCACGTAAATCGCAGTCTCCAGAAACGTCCGTGGGGCTACGTTTTCAGAATGAGCTTGGGTTGTGTTTATTAGTATAGCGCTGCTCACAATAATTATTGTTTTAAATCAGCATTAAAGGTGCACCTTATCGCATTACAATCAAAATTAGAAAAGTATATTAGCTACCATAACCTCATTAGTTACTAATAACTGTAATTAATTAGTTAGAAACTGATCGCTTTTAACAGTTAAAGTTATTCTATAAGCACAGTTAACCTGCAGTTATACAGTAAAGGTGCTGTCCATCTGTGTATGTTCAATGAAGTGTATTTGTGTATTAGGTGTATGTATTGTCCTCGAATTTTAACAGAAATAAAGGGGACCAAACCTGACTCAACTAAACTCTTGTATTTGTTTATTTTGTTTTTTCGAGGAGAATGTCTTTAAATGGAGATCCTGCCAGCCATGACTAAAGTGCATTCAAAGGTTTAGTTTGCGTTTCATCTGGGCTGCGTCCGAAACGGCATACTTCCATACTATATAGTACGCTAAAATCAGTATGCGAGCCGAGTAGTATATCTGAATTCATAGAAAATCAGTATGTGAGAAGTACCCGGATGAAATTCTGAAGTGCGCATCCCATGCACGCTGCGCTATCCCATGATGCCCCGCGAGAGAATTCATGAATGGAAGTAAAGCGACACAACTGACGCAGGTAGGTCACGTGTCCATAAAAAAATGGCGGATGTAGTACGTCCGAATTCCATTCATACTTCTCCCATTCATACTGAATAGAAAGTACTTTTTTAACGGCTGAGTAGTACGTTTAAATTCAAATGCAGTACCTACTAAGTAGTAGGCGGTTTTAGACGCAGCCCTGGTCTTTTGTTTCAGCAAGGTTTATAGAGCACTCTTATAACGGCAAATCTATGCCAAAAATAATCGAGTCAATTAGTGCTTTTGAAAACACTATTGGTTGGAATTAGTGACGGGGGTGGGCGGGTCAGTCAGTGCTTTTGAAAACACTATCGGTTGGGTTTAGAGAAGGGTGTGGGTGGGTTAATCGGTCCTGCCAGCCTTAATTAAATCACATTCAAAGGTTTAGTTAGCATTTTGTGAAGTTTAAATTTAAACTAATTTTGAGAGGAGCACGTGCTCATGATTGACCCAGCTGGCCCACATTAGCTAATCATGATCATCCAATCAAAGGATCGCAAGTATATATATCCTCATTTCCTTTCTACAACTATCTTCGTCTTAAAGAAACCCCCCTCCTCCCCTTCTTCCACCTTTTTTCCCCCACAGTCCAAAGACATCCGGTACAGGTGAATTGGGTTGGCTAAATTGCCCGTAGTGTATGAGTGTGTGTGGATGTTTCCCAGAGATGGGTTGCAGCTGGAAAGGCATCCGCTGCGTAAAAAACATGCTGGATAAGTTGGCGATTCATTCCACTGTGGCTATCCCGGATTAATAAAGGGACTAAAATAAAAAAAACAAAATGAACGAATGAATATTAGACCATTATTATGTCGCTCAAAAATGACCAAAGTATAACTAGTGCTAGTTCTGTTCATGCTCACTGTTATGGTTGATAAATCATTCAGATGGATTAAAATTTTAATTTCTTTGGTCAGACTCTGTGAGCTGATGAAACAAAGTATTTTGATTTCTGTCACCTTTTGTTCATTTTGTAATATATTTTCAGCGCCTATTTGAATTTTCATTGCAGTTATTTTATGTCTAATTCTGCAAATTCATGTTAAACACTACTTTGAGACATTGTTCACAGCTAAATGTTGAATGATTTTTGTGCTGATATAAGAGCAGTTAAAACAGAGCGGTCAATTTTGACTGGGAACACTAAAGCAAGGGGCAGGATGTGAACACGACAGGAGGGTTAACTTTTTTTATTTTGTGTGGAAAATATTTTATTCACAAACAAAAATTCTGGAATTTGCAGCCTTCTTTTTCACATTTTTAATTGAAATTGATGTTTTTATTAAAGCTCTTAGACTGAAAAAAAAAAAA